TAATAAAAGTCTTGCTGCTGTAGTGGCATACAAAAACATTCTGACATCCTTCTTGGGGAATTCCAGTCCTGTTATTCCAAGTAGAAAGGCTTCTGGTTTCTTAAAAAGAATGTTGAAAAATACATTTATTAATTTGTTATAAATATTTTCCCAGAAGTCTTTCACCTTGGGACACGTCCACCACATATGATAAAAAGTGCCTTTTTTCTCTTTACATTTCCAGCATAGATTATCATTAGTGTGGTAGATTTTTGCTAGTTTCACCGGGGTTAAGTACCATCTATACATCATCTTCATAATATTTTCTTTTAATACAGTACATGCCGTGAACTTAACCCCTTTCTTCCATAACCTCTCCCAATCTTCCACCATTATATTGTGACCCATCTCTTGCCTAATCAATCATAACAGATTTCACTTGTTCATTCTTTGTTCAGTGAGCAGTTCTTTACAAGCCCCAACCAACAACTGATCCTCAGGGCTTGCACAGAGACTATAAGGGTAGTAGTGGAAGCAGAGAGGGATCTAGCCTTTCAATCTACCAATGTTTACACTTCATTTTCAGAGGCCAATGGATTGTTGCATTTATTTTAAAAAAAAATGTAAAAGGGAAACCACAGACGTTTTATTTCCTCCTGCTTTTAGATGTTGAGATGATGTTCTGCTACTTGCATTTCCTGTCACAGGCATGAAAGTTGCAGATAGTTGTGTTGATTGTCAGCGGGTAGGTGGGGAAAAAAAACAGTGGCTAATTTCACTGACTGTGCTTGCACATTAAGCATCTAGTTTGGATTTGCTATGCTTCATTCATTCACTTCTTATGGGGCACCTACATAGGTCACTTCCAGAGGGCCAGTTTATTGACTATTCCCCCAATTTGTTTGCACAAAGTTTTCAGGGGGCTTAGATGGCCTCGGCTATTCAGTGGGCATTCATTCTGATTTGTTTGTAGGGACGTTTTATATGGTGCAATTGTTATCCCATACTTTCCATTGCATTTCCCCATAATTTTTCCATTATAGCAAAAAAGCACCCTTTCGAGGAAAGCAGATTTACTGCCCCAGAGCATCAAATCAACTTTACTTGTGCCACCAGAATTTGCTACTATGGGAATTAATCCATCCTGAAAATAGCAATACCCTGAGGAGGGGGTGCCCTGTCAATCGACTGCCACCTTCCTGTGCTTTCCCTGTGTTTCCTCCATATTTTCTCAGCCTGTAGAAAATCTGGTTTTGTTTGTTTGAAAAAGCAAAGTGGTGCAATCACCACAGGTGTAGCTGTCCTTAGTGCTACACTTCCGCTTTTTTGAAGAAGTGGAGTATTTTATTTATTATATTGATTTATAGTATTTATTACCCATCCTATGAAGGTGATTCTGTTAGAACTCCATCCCTCCCCCCCCCTTTGTGTATGTGACTTAATGATTCCCAGTATCCAGCCTACAATGCCCTGGTTTCACCCAAACATTTCTGTGCCATATTCCACAAAATTGCTTTGCTTCTAAACCAGGGACATTGCCAACCTTTTGGGGGCCAGTGAGCATACTTGCAAAATGGGCAGCACACAGACACCCTGCAGCCAAGCACATGCCACAGCCTATTCCTACAACAGAATGTTTTGGTGGTGGTAGAGGGGGCCCTGTGGGTTCCAAGGAAGGCTTCTGTGAGTACCTGTGTGCCCACATGCACCATGTTGGAGACCCCTGTTCTAAACAGCAGGAGAGGAACTCTTCAAAGCAAATAGGAAGGGTCTTAACAGTTGAAGGTATGTGTATATAAACATCCCTGTTAACTCCGAAACTCCACTGAGTGTACATTTTCCACTAGCAATCCTTGGTAATCCTTTAAATGCACCCCTCCCCCATCAAATAACCAGCCACCTGGAATCTAGCAGCTTTCCATGAATTCATCGTGTGCTTGAGACCTGATTGCCTTCAAACGATCGCTTAGCCTTTAATAGCCCAGAGGGATTAGCCCATGTGCAACTGCATCCATAGATAAAGTATTATATTCACTGTAAAGCTGGGAAGCTCGTAATTTCTTCTGTTGTACGCTGAAGCCATTCTTTCAAAGGCCAAATCCGCCCCACAAATCTGTCTGGAGATCAGTTACTGACCCTACTGTCATTTGATCCTAGCAACCAGTGGCAAACACCTTAATTGTAATAAATTATTATTACTGCCCAGAAACTACCAGACAGAACGCAAGTCCTCTGATGGCTCTACTAGGGCTCTACCATCAATGGACTTAAATGTGGCTGGTGGGCAGGGGTGATGGAGAGAGATCTTCTACCACGGACAACTAAAGTTTAAGGAGATGTTTCTACCCAGGGAGGCCAAATCAATAGTTACTTCTAGTCAGGATAGACTTCTGGGTGAGGCCATAGTTGCTAGCTGACCACCTAAGAGAGCTGGAAGGGGAGATGGATTGACCCACACATTGTGTTTGAGACCACATAGAATTATGTTTTAGGAGCATCTACAGTGGTACCTCGGTTTTCGAACGTAATCCGTTCCGGAAGACCGTTTGAGTTCCGAAATGTTCAAAAACTGAAAACTCAAAACAGAAGTCTCAAAACAGAAATCTCAATATGGAAAACTCAATATGGAAGCCACGTTTCCAGTTTGACTTCAGAGGCACATTTGAAAACTGAAGCATTTACTTCTAGGTTTACAGCGTTTGAGTTCCGAAACATTCGTCAATGGAGACATTTGAAAACTGAGGTACCACTGTGTACCAATGGATTATGGTGGTGCTCTCAGGGCTTTGGGTCTTCAGAATGAGCAACAAGCTGGGGCAGGGGCAGTGGGGCATAGCAGGGATGGCTTGCCACATTTTGAAGCAGGCAAAATAATGCATGTGGTATCTAGAGAGGGAGCCTGCAGTAAAACCATCAAATGCGGATAGCTAAGTACCCCACTGATGACTATCTCTCAGATCCTACCTCTAAACTGAGGTGGAGTATCTCAGTGGCCAGGTGCATCCCTCAAGGGATTTCTGTCTGGCCCTTAGGACTCTCCCCAAGTCTCATCCTTAACCAGCTCTGCTCTGCACCCTCCTCAAGACATTTTGCCTAACAGGAAAGTGTCCTTGAACTGTGAGCCTCTTGCTTTCTTGAATGGAAGACGGAGAATGTGTGGGCGGGTGTTAAAATCTATTTGTATGCTGCTTGCCCTTGGTGAACCGTACTCAAAGGAGCTTGCAACATCAAGCAAGATTATGTAAGAGAATTGACTAACAATTCCTGGACAGGGGGGTCTTTGTTTAGGAAGAAATGTGATGCTTTTTATGGAATGCTTTTAAGAAAGTACCTTCTGAAGCTGTCTAGTGAATAGAAAAAGCTTATTATGCCATGAATGCTGCTATATTGAAAAACCTAAAAAATAAGATAGGCAGGTAAGTAGGTAAACAGATAGTCAGTGTGGTGTTGTGGTCAGAGTGTTGGACTAGAACCCGGGAGACCAGAGTTGAAATCCCCAGCCAGCCATTAGGTTTACTGGGCTAGTCACTCACTCTCATCCTAACCTACCTCACAGAGTTGTTGTAGAGATTAAATGAAGAGCGGGGAGAACCACAGTCACTACTATGAGCTCCTTGGAGAAAAGGGTGGTATATGAATGCAATAAACAAATAATTAAGAACTACTACTACTACTACTACTACTACTATAATTTCTATTGTATTTATTATTTAATCATTTCTGTTTACCCAGGCATTTATTGGCTGAAGAATACTGTTCCTGGCAACCTCCAGATAGTTGGGTGGAAGTATGTTTCTAATGGTAACTGCGTTAAAATATTTTTAATTGCCATTGTTTTTAGAAAGTTTTAATCTGTTTTAGAATGTTTCTGTTTTGTTTCTGTTTTTAAAGTGTCTATCTGTTTGCTGCCCCAGAGGAGGAATTCAATAAAAAATTAAAATAAATATTCTTATAAGATGCTAGTGCATTTTATATGTGCATAAGCTACATGCACAGGTTTTATAGATGATATATAATAAATTAATGTTGCAAGCTTTATGACACCACAAGACTCCTTTGTTGCTTTTGCTGCAAGATGCTAACCATGTCTCTGTCACCCCTTCTTATTATTACAGTGGTACCTCTGGTTATGTAATTTGTTCTGGAGGTCCATTCTTAACCTGAAACTGTTCTTAACCTGAAGCACCACTTTAGCTAATGGGACCTCCTGCTGCTGCCACGCCCCCGCCACACGATTTCTGTTCTCAACCTGAAGCAAAGTTATTAACCCGAGGTACTATTTCTGGGTTAGCGGAGTCTGTGACCTGAAGCATATGTAACCTGAAGCATATGTAACCCAAGGTACCACTGTATTTGCATTTTTATCCTACTTTTTTCTCTAAGGAGCTCACCGTGGCATATGTAGTTCTTCCTCTCCTCATTTAATCTACACAACAATCCTGTAAATTAGGTTAGGCTTAGGGGCAGTGACTGGCTCAGGGTCACCCAGTGAGTTTCATGGCTGAGTGTGGATTTGAACCTTGGCCTCCCACATCAAACCCCAACACTCTAACCACTACACCACACTGGATTGCTTAATAAGGTTGCTTCATGCAAACATTTAACCTAAATGGCACTCTTCAATCACAAAAGTAATAAACTGCTAGAGAGCCCATATTTTAATTCAAAGCACTCAATATGCAGGATTAGTTGTCACAAACAATTTAGGACTCCTATGCTTCTCATTTTTTTTAGAAACAACAACCAACCATCCCTCTGAAGCATGTAGATTTGGGGAAGCAATTTGTACATTTAATACCACCACTTCAAATGTCATGGGTATGTGATCCTAAATCAAACCACCAAGCATAAAAACAAATCCTAAAAATATAACCGCTACCATGTTGAGATTTGAAATAAAACCAGAAGATGGATACCTTGGTGAACATGAGAACGGGGGATCATTTGTCATTAGCTTACAAGAGGGTAGCTACTGAACAATTACTGTCTTCTAGGTCCAAGTATGTTTAGGAACAGTGCAGTCCACTGCCAGCAATGCCACATATACCACACTGCCACATGACTGAGGATTTGTCATTATTCAAGATTCCAGGATAATGATAGATCCTCAGTCATTTGGCAGTGTGGTATATCTGGGGTTGCTGGCAATGGGCTGCAATGCCCCTAAACATACTTTGACAATCAACAATAATAAAACTGAACAAGTTAAGCTTTCCCCTGCTTGAGTAATTCCCCACCCTCCTCAAAGTCCCATTTGTCTGCATTTGGAGTGACAGGAGGCCAAACTGTTCCAGCAGTTTTTAAAGATTCTGAAGAGGTAAAGACATAAAGACAATTGTGTAATGAAGGTCTTTGAGGCTAATAAAATAAAATGGATGCCCATCCTGTTGGTGTTAAAACACTCAGCAGAAGTTGAACTTAATACTGAATTCATGTTGGAGGAGCACATGTTATCCTGGATATAATCACAGAGAGACTCTGAATTGTGGGGGGGGAGAGAAAATTATGATTAGTACAGGAAATGCAAGTTGGATAGGAAAGATCCCCAGTTCTTTCAAACGGCAGAGATGTCTTGAACTATCTCAGTAGGTGAGACCCAAAGACGTCTCCTCTCCTGAGGTGAGGATGAAGAATGAAACAAGAAATGAGGTCAGCAGCCCTGTGTATCTAGCAACTGAGGAAAGGTGAGTTAGCACATTTTAGGTCAGAAAGAGAGTCTAGGAAACCTGAAGGTTCCTGTCTCTACTCTTTCCCATGCAGACAAATCAGCCTCCAGTGCAACACTTCCAATAGATTCTCTATGGCTGAGGTTGGGGAGCCTTGTTCAAGTCAAGGGCTACATTCCCAAAAATCTTTTACGGGCCCCAAACTGATTGGCCAAAACAAAAGTAGGCATGGCCAAATGGGGTTTCTTCCCAGCCCCAGGCTCTGTAACAGCCTCTGAAAGACAGCCTCTTATGCTGCGTCTAAGCTTTTAGAAAATACTATTGGATCTAATAGGGATTTCCCCACCCAAGCCTAATTGCATTGTGGGTGTGTTGTGGAGAAGGGTTAATGCTGCCTTCCTCCACTGTGCCCCCAAATGGCTCCCCAGTACCAAAGTCCAGCACGCTAACCCCTCCCTAGGGATGCTGCTGGTACCCAGTGATCCCTGCAATAAAATGAATTAAAAAATAAATGAGAAGGTGCTATTTAAAATTCAGGAAGCTGGTTTTAAACCATGGACAACCTACATGCTTGGAATCACTATTTACTATCCCAACTATCTTCCAAATGTATCCGCAAATGGCACTGTGTTCCAGCAGTACAGCAACTTAACCTCCACAGTTTAACCTTTGACTAGGGCATCTAATTATTTCCAGATCAGATCCCAGTTCGCACAATGAGTGGCTTGTCAGAAATCTGCCGGGGTCTCCTTCTTAGAACTTTCACCTTCCATCATAGGGGAACTACACTAACGTTGTATGATTGCCCAACAGTATCAATGCCCCTCCGTTGTCTCCCCGTGGGAAGAAAAGGAAAAAAACCAGCACAGTCAAAGGGGAAGCCGGATGGCGCCAAAGTCCTCAGCAGGATCTTGTGCTTTGACATTTGTTCACTCATTCCAAACCCTGGTCGCTAAATCAGTCCATCATGTTTCTTAGCCAAAGCAGCAGCATTTGTGCCCAAGCAGGGAGCCACATTACCAAGTTTGGGGTAAACTCAAAGCTTGAGTTTGTGGAAGCACAATTAAGGGGTAAAACACCCTAAAAGTGGGTGGGGTGGACCCATAGCAACCTTAGTGGCCTCTGTTAAGAACATATTCATGGAAGACAATCTTACTCAGCTACAAGTGATCGCTAAAGCAAGCAAGCAAGTGGCCACAGACCACAGAGTGTTGCAGGGAAAAGGGAGCAGAAGCCCCAGCAGAAAGGGAGAATGGCATAGAGTATCCTGGAAAAGTGTGTGGCTAGCTAGCTGGAACCCTGAACAGGAACATTTCACTTTTGTTGCAGGCTGGACTGCTTCCAAAAGTCCCACCTAGAGTGGGCAGGTAAAAAGGATGGCTGTAACAGCTTTAACAGTCATGTGCAAGAGGGGATTTCAGAAGGTTTGGCTTGCATGAGAAGGTACAAACCTACTGAAGTCCCCTCTTCTACACAGTTCTTGAAGCCCTGCCCTCTTTTTCACCAGCTCACCTGAGATCTAAGCTAGATGCTTGCAAGCAGATCATGAAGACCTGCACAAGCAGGTCCTGAACATGTTGCCCTTTCGTCTCTCCCCAGCATCTGATATTCAGAAGTGCATTGGTTCTGTTGATGGAGGTTCTATTTTGTTATCCTGGCTAACGTGAAACAGGAGTGGAGAATATTGGTGGGAAAGGCCCAAGTTCAGGAGCACCCCCAGAACATCACACAAGGCGAGGAGTGGGGATCTTCCCATCTGGCATGCAGAAATGCTTGCACAGATGGAAGGATCATAGACTTGTAAAGTTGGAAGAGACCATGAGGGTCATCTAGTCCAATGCCCTGCAATGCAGGAATCTTTTTGCCCAACATGGGGCTCGAACTCATGGCCCTGGGATTAAGAATCTCATGCTCTACCAATTGAGCTATCTTCTCAATATGTTTGGGTGTTTCTGTTCTGTCTGTTTGACGCTGTTGCGGCAAATGTTTAAATATAGATTTGAAGTCAAAAGCCTTATTTCTGTTTTTAGATTTCAGGAAATGGGTGGCACCAGAGGGAGGGGCAGGGGGGCAGACAAGGATCCCCTCTCTGCCCCCCCCAATTGCTGGACCCCTGTCATTATTATATACTATATTTTTTCAGATATTTTAACATGTGGGGCACAATTCACTAGAAATCCACCTTGCACCTTAGGTGCCACCCGCAAAACATTTCTGTTGCTGCAACTGTTTCAGGGCAGTCCTGTAATGAACATGTGTGTGCATATGCACATTTATGCATGAATGTGGTTTTTGCATATTGCTTCTTTGTTTCCAGGCTGTAGTCAACATGCAATATACTGTGTTGTGTTCTTTCCATTTTTAAAAAAAGTCAGTTAATAATGCTTTCTGCTGCAATGCTAATTCTTGATCCAAGATTATAGAATTATATTTCATCTTCAGTGATTCCTGCCTCCACCAAAAAAAGACATCTGCCAGAATATAGAATAAACTAGCGCTGAGCAAATCCACCATCAAGCATCTTGAGGGGCACACACATTCATAAACAATTAAGCTAGCCTTAGTGTTCAGGGAGTTCAGGAATCTATCTGGCATCCTTAGCATTTGCCTGAATTTCAACATTCCAAACAGACCATAGCTTTAAAAAAATCCCTCTCTGTACTAGAAAGGATCCAAGTTCATAGCATAGTAATCTACAACATCCTGTTTGGCTGGTATTGAATACCCATCTTTATTTTCTCCCTCATCCAAAAAAGAAAGAAAAGAAATTCTCACCTAGTTATCCCAGCAAAATGGGGATTTGGGTTGCATACATTACTTCTAGGAGTACTTGTTTTTTCTGCGTAGTCCACGCAAAATATTTCTGCATATTTTTTGCCCCTGAAAAAAACTTTTTGAGAAACTGGTTTCATTCCAGAAATAATCAATGCAGGTCGATTCTGCATTACCCTGCAGGATGTCCATTTGAAAACACATGTAGTTGGTCCTGGCAATGAGGGCTATATTCACACCTGCCCAGTGATGTGGGTGGGTGTATACCAAGATCAGTCACCACTTCCTTCTTCATTCACCTGTACAGGGAGGAAAAGGCATGGATAACCTAACCAAGAGGTTGGTTTTCAAATGCATGCCAAATAACCACACCATAACCTTGTGGATGGCTGGATCTAGAACAGGGGTAGGCAACCTAAGGATGCGCCCCAATTGCCTTCTCAATCCAGCAAGCGTGTTTTTACATGAGTAGAATGTGCTTTTTATTTAAAATGCATCTCTGGGTTATTTGTGGGGCCTGCCTTGTGTTTTTACATGAGCAGAATGTGTGCTTTTATTTAAAATGCATCTCTGGGTTATTTGTGGGGCCTGCCTTGTGTTTTTACATGAGCAGAATGTGTGCTTTTATTTAAAATGCATCTCTGGGTTATTTGTGGGGCCTGCCTTGTGTTTTTACATGAGCAGAATGTGTGCTTTTATTTAAAGTGCGTCTCTGGGTTATTTGTGGGGCATAGGAATTCATTCATTCCCTCCCCCCCCCAAAAAAATATAGTCCTGCCCCCCCACAAGGTCTGAGGAATGGTGGACTGGCCCACAGCTGAAAAAGGTTGCTGACCCCTGATCTAGAATGCTTAGGATGAGCAATTCCAGACTGAGAAAAACCACAAATGTGCTACAAATGGGTTAGAAGAAAGGGAAGGGAGAGATGGGAACTCAGAATGGTGCTACAAAATCAGTCTTCACCAAATATAGTTCTTGTGAACATCTAAAGCAGCGCCATGTGTTTCACCTGAAGACAACCTTCCTCAAAGGCATTTATTAACAAAAAGGTTCTCCCATCAAGGCAACATCTCTCTGAAGCCTCCTTTGAAGATCAACATAGACTCTGTGCTTTCCATTAAGTCTCCAGTGTGAACTACATAAAGGTAAAGGTAAAGGGACCCCTGACCATTAGGTCCAGTCGTGGTTGACTCTGGGGTTGCTGCGCTCATCTCGCTTTATTGGCCGAGGGAGCCGGCGTACAGCTTCCGGGTCATGTGGCCAGCATGACTAAGCCGCTTCTGGCGAACCAGAGCAGCGCATGGAAACACAGCACCATCCGCATCCCATGTGCACTACATAATAGTAAATAAATTATAGGAGCTGATCCAGAAGACCAGAGAAGGAGGAGAAAGTATTTTGCATCAGGTCATCCCTGCCTTGTTTATGGATGACTTTGTCAAGTGCGTTATTATACTATTCCTGAAAACAGGAAGCAGCTGCCAACATCCTTCTTAGCTGGAGAAGTTGCCACTTCCTGTAGACAACCTGGTTGTAGTGCACAGCTGGAGCAGGAGCTCTTGCTTTGCTCTGCTATTTTTTATACACGGGAATGCAGAACTGCAGAATGGAGAAAATCTATGGGGAATGGGCAAAGCGCACTGGCAGAAGGTCCGAACTTCAATCCTCGGCATTTCTCAGTGGAGCTGGAAATGCTCCTTGTCAGAAACCAGTGTAGGCAATACTGAGCTAGAGGGGTGAAATGAGTGTGCCTCCATACAGTTTGTACTGTATCTATGTGCTTTTTACAGACCCAAGGATTCCTAGGTTAGCTAAATGAACCCCAAACCCTGTGTTTGTAAAACAGCACCAAACCTTAAATGCAGGTAGAATTAACAAGCACATTGCAACCTTGTCTCCCAAATGCTGTTTTTTAATATAACTGGAACAGCCTATTCAGCACTTGTTTATTTACTTGCATTATAAGGTTTTTTTTAGTCTGCTTCTCCAGCGCTTAAGGGAGCTGGCAGATTATAATGGAATCTGTAGTTCCTCACATTCGAACCCTAATAAAAACCAATCCACTTAGAAAAGAATTGCAAGACAGCTGCAAAAAGGGAACCCACATAGCAAGCCAGCATTTGCTTCTCAAGGCATTCCTAAACGGGAGACTTTTTCCATAGCTATCAAAAGATTAAGAAAGAGAAAGAGGGACATTTCTGATCTTCCTCCAAGAGTTCATTCCAGAACTTGTGTTCCACCTCAACCGCTGATTGGATGTTTTGGGTAGGGAATCTTCTGACCAGGGTCCAGTCCCACAGATCTTTGCAAAGAACTGGGAGAAGGTGACAACGGGCTGGTCTTTCCTTCCTTCCTTCCTTCCTTCCTTCCTTCCTTCCTTCCTTCCTTTCTTTCTTTCTTAAATGTACTGCTTGAGAAAATAAAAATCTCCAAGCAGCTTACACGAAAATGAGAAAACACAGCAACATTCAATAAAATTTCACAAAACATGGATAAAAAACGGATAAAACCAAAACACAACTATATATCACAAAAAACTGAGCCATGTACAAAACAAAACAGGCATCTAGTTGACCACTGTGAGAAGATGTTGTTGCACCAGCTGTGCCACTGGCCTAATCTTAACATCTCCAGCTATTTTGCTTTGCATTGCTTGAGCAGCACTTCTGAAGTATTCTGATTTGTTTCTCAGTGAGAGCTGTTGCTTGGCAGCTGCCAGCTATGGAAGATTCACCTCCATCATGGGCTGAGGGAGTTCCAGCTATTCAGACCCACTCTCTGGCCCCAGAGTTCATCCCACTCAGCAGTAGTACCCAGAGGGCAATGACATGGAAGACCAAAGATGAAGACAGGAGATGCCAGTCAACTCGGATAATCCTGGCACCCTAGGGACACCTTGTTATTTCTGTTCTGGATACCAGACTTGAATATATTTATTATAACTGTCTTTCGTAAGCCACTTTGAGAGTTTTTTGGGGCTATGAAGAGGGATATAAGTATTCTAAACACCTAAATATGATTTCTGCAGCATCCTATGTATGCACATGACAGCACATGGAACATTCTACCCATGGGACTTAGCCCTACCAAATCCAGTCAGAGACATACTTCTGAGTAAAATCTCTGAGTACAACAGGACTAACTACTTCTCCAGGCCTGCTTGGGCCTCCATCTCATGTGTGGATATCCGAACTTGGAGAATGTATTTGCAGCATAGCATGATAACAGTATGGCAGAATATAACCTGCAAGGTCCAGGTTCACAGACTATAATGCTGTTTAGAAAGGATCCTGCCTCCTTGGAAAGTGCCATGGTCCTGGAAGACATCTACAACCATATGGTATACATGGAGAACACAGGCTGCCCAACAGCTTCACATTCCACAGAGCCAAAGCTGTTTCTGCACTCTCCACATGTACCAAAGGATCTCACGTTTGCCAGTTGTGCAACCAGAGCAACATTTGTCTGCAGCCCATTCCTCCTGTGTGGTCTCCATGCTGTGCCTGCTGAAAGTCAGTCCCATCTTCTGTTTCCCTCAAAGAGAGTTTGGGAGGAGAGTTCCCTTTGGCTTATGAGGTCAGTTTGTACACCTCCCCAAAAAAGTCATCTGGTTTAGCTTAGTTTTACTGTGTGAGAGCAGGATGGTAACAGAGGCACACACACTCAACCATCTCTAGAAACAACCCTCACCAAATCTTTTGTCACATATTAACTTTTTTATTACACAGGCAACAGTTGGCAGATTATTTTTTTAACAAACCCAGATAAATACAGTGGTACCTCGGGTTAAGTACTTAATTCATTCCGGAGGACCGTTCTTAATCTGAAACTGTTCTTAACCTGAAGCACCACTTTAGCTAATGGGGCCTCCTGCTGCCACCGCCACACGATTTCTGTTCTCATCCTGAAGCAAAGTTCTTAACTCGAGGTACTATTTCTGGGTTAGCGGAGTCTGTAACCTGAAGCGTCTGTAACCTGAAGCGCCTGTAACCCGTGTACCACTGTATGTACAAATATCTAGCAGCGCTAGCATTCTTTGGCAGCATCCCTCAGCATGGGTATGACGGAATAATAAGAAAACTGAGATTGTCATCTAGGAAGCTCATGGACACCTTAAAGACAATTTAGGCTGCAATCCTATGTCCACCTACCTGTGCT